AAAGGAATATAAACTTTTTTTATTCATAGACTTTTTTTCTGCATTTCCAACTACTGGTTATGAACAACCAGGGGAGAAATACATAGATCATCATCTAGAGATTGTCATGTTAAATTAAGTGTTGCGTACAACTATTATTTTGAGATAGAGGGTGGACGTGTGCATTTCCTTTTATCATTACCAAAATAAACCATCCCCAACAGATTGCCGAGTCTTCACTGTCACATCATTTATCTGTCTCTTCTTGGTATGATTGCATTCTGTGCCATTTTTGACACAGACACTTGAAGTGCTTGAAACGTCTAACTACTTTTGTTAAATGAACTGGGATGAATCAAGTTGCATCTTGACATTTGGAGCTAATTGCATCTCACACAGACCGTGAAATCATGTCCCCATGGATATAAAGTATTACTTAAAAGAGCAACAGAAAGATGCAAACAAATGAGTATTACTCACCTAAACTGAACCATTGCCCCTAAGTCATTTCAATCTATATAATATAACATCCCTCCAAAGCTTTCCCACCCACTATCAGAAACTGTTTTCTCATACTGTTAGAGACCCTAAATTGGGTCTTCTTAGGTCCACATCACGGGAACACGTAAGGAAGGAGACAGTGCTAAAAAAGATAAAAAAAAAACAAGGTTTATTTTAGTTTCTTCATGAAGAAGACGGACAGCCTGGCAGCATACACAGATGCTACCCTTCAAGTGACTGCCACGCCCCTCCTCTTTTTCTGCTGACTTTTATACTCAAGTAATAGGTCATGGAAAGTACTCTCTTTCCAGCCCCTCTCCCTTGACCTTTTGATGGAAAGTCCCTTCTTGTACCTGCGGACTCTGCGCTTAATCACAACCTTTGAATTTAACCACAACACAACTTCCGACCTGTACATGTCACATCTTGTTTCTTAAAAACATTTTCTTCCCTGTTGCTCCTTTTCTATAGAGAAAGAGTATGTTTCTCTTTTGCTGTTAATTTCATTCAAAGCCCCTTGCATAGCATTTGTTTCACTCAAAGACCCTTTCAATACTGCTTTCCGTTTTTGAGAATAGTATGTATCAAAAGTAAGAAGCCTCAATAATATGCAGTACAGCTTCCTCTCCTTGCATAAAGTGATTTGAAGAAATCTTGCTAATCTGGTTTTCATCAAGCCAGGCCATCACAATATAGTGAGCTTGTTAAGAGGTTGCTAATCTACCTTTCAGTGTCATGAAATATGAGGTATGGATTGAATGGAGTTATATGAAAGTTATATAGTTGGGGTATATGTAGAGGCTAGAGATGCCATCCTAAGAAATGATGCCTGGAAAACTACTAAATTCATGAACTGCAATTAAAAGTTGCTGAACTATTGATGAACAGAGAAAAATGGTCAACTCTGGTGAAAAACAACATGTTTACATTACCAATGACAATGACTCTTTTAAGTTAAGAAGGAAGTAAACAGTGCTCCTTAAGAAGGAAAACCAATTATTGTTTAATTGGTTTAATTTGTTCTCACCTACAAAGCCCTGAACGGTTTGGGACCCACCTACCTTCGTGGCCGCATCTCTGTATACGAACCCACACAATCTCTTCAATCATCTGGAGAGGCCCTGCTCACGCTCCCACCTGCATCGCAAGCGCGATTGGTGAGGACAAGAGAAAGGGCCTTTTCGATGGTGGCCCCTCGACTCTGGAACTCACTTTCTAAGGACATCAGGCATGCCCCAACCTTGGCAGTCTTTAAGAGGAGCTTGAAGACGTGGTTGTTCCAGTGTGCCTTCCCAGAATAATGATTCCATAGCACTTTGTCCTCCAAAGCACTTTATATTGTTTTAGGTCTCCTTGTATGTTTCCACAAACCGCCCCCATCACTTTTTCGCCCATGTCCAGCATTATTTTTAATTTTAATTACATTTGGCCTACCCACAGATTTTAAAGTGTGTTGTCCTATTTGATAATGCTTATGTTATTGTTTTATTGTTTTGTTGTTTTAAATTGCTTGTATTGTTGTTGTTATTGCTTGTATTGTGGTATTTTGGGCTCGGCCTCATGTAAGGCACACCGAGTCCCTTGGGGAGATGGTAGCGGGGTATAAATAAAGTGTTATTATTATTATCACTGCTTTGAGTTGCCTGAGGGCTGAAGGCCAGAACATCTGGGGACCCACAGGTTGAGAATCACTGACCTAAAGTATTAAGAGAATTTAACTAAGACCTCCCTGGGTTTTTGTCTTTTAGAGAAGCGATTCTCAATCTGTGGATCGCGACCCCTTTGTGGGTGACACGAACCTTTCATAAGGGTCACTCAAGACCATTGGAAAACACATGTTTACAGCATCCAAAGTCTACAACATCCTCAAGAGCCAGGAGCAACGCCACCAGCAGCAGCAGAAGGCTGTTAGTGGTGGAGAAGCGCTGGCGGGGTCCCTTCCTCTGCCCTCTCCGCTCCTCCTGAGGCCAGGTACCAGGACACCGAGCTTGCCAGGCGGACTGGGCTGCTCCTGCACTGACAAGTGGCCCTGCCATGTCCCCAGGTGGCATGCAAGGTGGCCTCGGCGGTGCTGGTGAAGACACTGCACTTCATTAAGAGTGTCCCTGCTTCCAGGAGCAGCCGCTCGATGAGCAACTTGGTTCTGGTGCACACTCCTGGGTGCCGTTATTGACACTGGGCCTGGCCCAGGACTGTACCTGCTTTGAGACCTTGGAGCAGGCCCATCCCAGCATGCTCCAGCACATCCTCACCACTAGCCCTGGCAGCGTGACACCAACAGCACATAATTACAGTTATGACGTAGCAACGAAAATAATTTTATGGTTGGGGGTCACCAGAACATGAGGAACTGTATTAAAGGGTTGTGACATCAGGAAGGTTGAGAACAACTGTTTTAGAGTATTAGGTAATTTAATTACGACACAGCTGGCTAAATTTTCACACTGTTGCCATTCATCTTCAGCGTCTGCCTCAGAAAGATGAACCTCTGGGACCACTCCAGCTATCCCATTAATTAAGAAACTTTCTACCTACCAATTCTGTGAAGAATTAGAACAACACTGATAACAGTATTCTGCGAGGGTTGAATGAAAGGTAATGCCTCCATCTTCATTACTCGGGTTTGAATGGAAATATTTTAATAAATCAAACGCAGAAATAATCCTTAGAATTATTTCTATGCTCTTTAACTACTACTATTCACTTTTCCATATAATCACCAGACAATTGGATATATTTCTGCCAACTATGAACAAGTTTTATAAAGCTGCCACGGAAGAAGTCGACACTCTGTTTCCGCAACCAACGTCTCACAGTTCTCTCAACGTCTTCATCAGAAGCATAATGATGTTCCCGCAGATCTTCTTTCATTATCAGGAACAGATTGAAGTCAGACAGTACTCTCTGAGTGATACGACGATTGTCCTGAATCTATCTGTCAACCTTTTGCTTGTGAAACTCGGTGGTTGCTGTCACAGGACGTCCAACTCTTTGTTTGTCACGCATGTTCCCACCTCAACATCTTTAAACTTACTCGCCCAACGACGCACAGTACTCACATCAACACAATCACCATAAACAGCTTGCATTCTCTGATGAATCTCCTTTGGGGTGACACCTTCTGCTGTCAAGAATTCAATGACTGCATGCTGCCATGTATAAATATGTGAGAGGAAGTCACAGGGAGGAGGGAGCAAGCTTGTTTTTTGCTTCCCTGGAGACTAGGACATGGAACAATGGCTTCAAACTACAAGAAAGGAGATTCCACCTGAACATTAGGAGGAACTTCCTAACTTTGAGAGCTGTTCAGCAGTGGAACTCTCTACCCTGAAGTAGCTGGGCATGTTTAGCCTGAAGAACAGAAGGCTGAGAGGAGACATGATAGCCACATATAAATATGTGAGAGGGAGCAAGCTTGTTTTCTATTGCCCTGGAGACTAGGACGGAACAATGGCTTCAAACTACAAGAAAGGAAATTCCATCTGAACATTAGGAAGAACGTGTGGGAGCTGTTCAGCAGTGGAACTCTCTGCGCCAGTGTGGTGGAGGCTCCTTCTTTGGAGGCTTTTAAACAGAGGCTAGATGACCATGTCAGGGGTGCTTTGAATGCAATATTCCTGCTTCTTGGCAGGGGGTTGGACTGGATGGTCCATGAGGTCTCTTCCAACTCTGCTCTCGACCCCACCTTTATCACAAATGAGACTGGAGGGGACAAGGGACAGGGCCTTCTCAGTGGTGGCCCCTCGCCTGTGGAATGCACTCCCCGGGGAAATTAGGTCATCAACATCCCTCCTCTCTTTCAGAAGGAAGTTAAAAACCTGGATATGGGACCAGGCTTTTGGGTAAGCTGGCAGATGGATAAAAGACAATGACGACCAGAGTAGGAAAGGACAATGACAATGCTGGATGGATTATGGATTTATGAATTGATGAACGTTGACCACAAGATGATTTTATTGCTGCTATTGTATTAATTTGATTGTTTTAATTAGTTATAACTGTTGTTGTTATATTGTATTTTGTATATTGTATTTTGTGAACTGTTGGGCATTGAATTATGCCTTTTGTAAGCCGCCCTGAGTCCCTCCCTAGGGGGTTGAGAAGGGCGGGGTAGAAGCACTCCAAATAATAATAATAATAATAATAATAACTATGATTTAAGTCGCATTGACCGACCATCTGCACAGGGTTCCATACTTCGCACTTTAACAACACAACCATTCAATGCTAAGGCTTCCTGCCAAAATGGAACTGTAGAGGAGAGTCTACTGAACAAGCTAGTACCTGCCGCATACCAGTACTGCCATCTGTTGAGGAGTTATGAAGGTGGAGGCATTACTTTTCATTCAACCCTCGTAGCAAACATTATACTGGCGGTGTGTTTGTAGCCTTTTTCTACATGTGTCCTCCTCCCATGACTCTGTCCAAGCTCTAAGGACCTAAATGGGAAAAAAGTGATTCTCCTCTCCATAAACTATTTGGAGATGAACTTTTTCCCCACCTAAAACTTTTTTCCCCCATTCTTAAAACATTTATGCCATTTCTCCCCTATTAAAATTAATGTGTTCCATGATGGTTGGCTCCTCCCTGAAAACCTTGACATAGTCCTGGAATTCAAATGGATTTTTCTCTATGTGCAGAGATCGGGGAAAAGAAGAGAGACGTGGCTTTGGCTTCTGACTCAGATTTCCACCTGCAAAATAATTGTTCTGATTGAAACTACTCACACATTCCTGGCACTGAAATGATGCCTCCCCTGTATGAGTCAACTGATGGATAGCAACGTGTCCCTTCTGAATGAAACTCTTCCCGCACTCCCGGCATTGAAAGGGTTTCTCTCCAACATGATCCAACTGGTGAGCAGCGAGGTAGCTTTTCCGACTGAAGGTCTTTCCACACTCGAGGCATTTGAATGGTTTCTCCCCGGTGTGAGTTAACTGGTGACGAGTGAAGTTGGACTTCCAACTGAAGCTCTTCCCGCATTCCAGGCATTGGAATGGCTTCTCTTCTGTGTGAGTTGCTTGATGATCTGCGAGGCTCTTTTTCCAACTGAAGCTTTTCCCGCATTCCTGGCATTTAAAGGGTTTCTCCGCTGCGTGAGAGCTCTGGTGCTCCATAAGACTCTTCTGGCAAACGAAGCTTTTCCCGCACTCCGGGCATTTATAGGGTTGCTCCGTCACGTGAGAGGCTTGGTGTTTGGCGAGGCTCTTCTTCCAAACGAATGTTTTCCCGCACTCCAGGCACTGAAATGGGTGATCGGCTGCATGAGTCGTTCGATGGTCTGCCAGGCTTTGCTTCAACCGGAAACTTTTCCCACACTCGGGGCATTTAAACGGCTTCTCTGCCGTGTGAGTCAACTGGTGACGAGTGAAATTTGACTTCCAACCAAAGCCTTTCCCGCACTGCAAGCATATAAAGGGCTTCTCCATGGTGTGAGTCGTTCGATGCGAAACGAGGTGGGCATTGCGGCTGAAGATTTTCCCACACTCCAAGCACTTGAAGGACTTCTCCCCGGTGTGGGTTGCTTGATGGCTGATGAGGTGTTCCCTCCGATTGAATTTCCTCCCACAGTCCCGGCACGGAAATGGCTTCTCCTCTGTGTGCGTGGCCTCATGAAGCACCAGGCTCATCTTCCACATGAAGCTCTTCCCACACTCCAAACACTTAAATTGTTTCCCTGTCGGTAACGGTTTCGGATGAGAAGAGAACACATTATGTGTTCTTGGACTGAATTTTTTTCCAGACTCCAAGAAATTGTAAAGTTTCTCATAGCCCTTGTAATCCAAGTTCTTCTCTCTCGATTGAAAGCTTCCATTCACACTAAGGTCCTCCAAATATTCAAGGTAAGGAGCTTTATTCTTCCCATCCCCATCTCCTATTTCTTCCTGGTCAGAGATTTCATAGATATCCCCAGTCTGAGAAAGAGAAGCCTTGTTCTTCATGTTCTCCTGAGTGTCCAAACACATCCTTGGTTCTCCTTCATTCTCATTTGCCAGCCCATCACCTTGAAAAGAGAGAAACAACAAGTCAACAGAGAAACAGAAGCCCTGGCAGACCATGCAAAGAGAATCTCCAAACTCTGCCTCCTACAAGATGAACTGAACCACCTCAACTGGGCTCTACAGGCCAATGAAGACTCCACCACAGACATTAGAAGAGCTGCAAGACCAAGGACAAGCCACGAGAGTCAAGACCAAGATCCACATCTTACCATACATCTTACTGTACATCAAGAACAAGCCCTATGAGGAGTGGCTTAAAGAGTTGAGCATGTTTATTTATTTTTTAATTTTTAATTTCAAATGTTTGTACCCCGCTCTTCTCTACCCCCGAAGGGGAACTCAGGGCGGCTTACAGCTGGCAACAATTCGATGCTTCCCATATACAACAGATAAAACAACAGTTACATAATAAATAAAACATTAAAATTAGATTAAAAACCATTTAAAATAGTGCAAATTGTTGGCCTATTTAGCCTGAAGAAGAGAAGACTGAAAGAAGACATGATAGCCATGTATAAATATGTGAGAGGAAGTCACAGGGAGGAGGGAGCAAGCTTGTTTTTTGCTGCCCTGGAGACTTGGATGCAATGGAACAATGGCTTCAAACTACAAGAAAGGAGATGCCACCTGAACATTAGGAAGAACTTCCTGACTGTGAGAGCTGTTCAGCAGTGGAACTCTCTGCCCCGGAGTGTGGTGGAGGCTCTTTCTTTGGAGGCTTTTAAACAGAGGCTGGATGGCCATCTGTTGGCGATGCTTTGAATGCAATTTTCCTGCTTCTTGGCTTCTTGACCCACGAGGTCTAATCCAACAATGATTCTAAGGGAACCACTGACCGCGTAGGGAAGCTGAGGAAGAAACACAACCTACAAACTATCTGCAGACCCACTAAGAAAATCCAGCAAAAGATATGAGGGATCCTCTAACCACGGCAGGAGTCTATCATACACCCTGTAGCTGTGGACAAGTCTACATAGGAACCACCAAACACAGCATGCTCTCCTGACATTTTGCCCACATCTATGACAGGTATCCCCAGAGGTTGTGAGGTCAAAGGATCATAGAATCAAAGAGTTGGAAGAGACCTCATGGGCCATCCAATCCAACCCCATTCTGCCAAGAAGCAGGACAATCTACAAAGAGATCAACCAAGAGAAAGAGGGAGACTCACCCAAAGAAGCCACGATTGCCAGGTTCTCCTCAATTACTTCCCCATAAAGGGCCCTTTGGTCCGGATCTAGCAGGGCCCACTCCTCCTCACTGAAATACACAGCCACCTCCTCCAAGGTTACCTGGGAGAACAGACAAAATTATTGGGCTTATTAACAAAAGACCCTTCTCATAAACATATAGCAGAGTAACTTATTAGAAGCAGCGTGACCCAGCACCACTAGACAAAAGTGAAGAAAAACACACAGATCAATGTGATCTCTTCCATAGAAGGCTTTTCTTTGGAGCAAAATAATATAGTTGCACTATTTAGAACAACAAGGTTTCCATAACACAAATAAAGTTCTTTATACTTCCTTCTTTGCTTCCATGCTGGGCTTCTTTCTCATGCAGATAAACAGCCTCGCTCTCACAGAGCCCCCTCTCACACTGAACTTATACAGCAGTTTTTACACAGAGCAGCCTTCACATACTGAGGCCTACATCACACTGAGGCCTCTCTCAGACTTAGGCTTTATCTCATAAGGAGGCCTCCCTCACACGGAGGCCTCTCACATACTTTTTTTATGAGTTCCTTGCAAATAACCAGCTCCTATTTTTATCTGATTAGAGTCTTTTAATCGTTTTATCCTGTACATGTGGCTCGCCCATTGTTATTGTGATTGTGCTTATTGGAATGTTATTTTATGACTGTGTTTATAGTTTTTTCCCTCTCTATGTAATTTTGTTGATGTTGTTTGATGTTTATGTCTTGGTTTTATTTTGCTGCAATGTGTTGTGTCTGGGCTTGGCCCCATGTAAGCCGCTCCGAGTCCCCGCTGGGGAGATAGTGGCGGGGTATAAATAAAGATGATGATGATGGTGATGATGATGATTATTATTCTGAGTGCTTCTAACATTGAGAAAGGCCTCTCTCAGACTGAGGTCTTTCTCCCACTGAGGGCTCTCTCAGACTGAGGCAAACTAAGCTACAGGCATACCTGCTTATATTGAATTGCAGCTTTCGCTGAGTCATTCCATTGCATTCATACAAACCACCTAGGATCTTAAGATCCTCTTGGGAGGCCCTGCTCTCGGTCCAGCCACCATCGCAATCGCATTTGGCTGGAACGAGAGACAGGGCCTTCTCTGTGGTGGCCCCTTGGCTATGGAATTCCAAATGAGATCAGATCTCTTCCATCACTCCTGATCTTCTGGAAAAAAGTGAAATCCTGGCTATGGGATCAAGCGTTCATGTACTAGACTGACTTGCTGGCAAAGATATTGTTGTAATAGACTATGATGGACTGCTTTTATGATGACAGCTTAAATCGACGAACTCTTTTAATGTTTTTATACTGTTTTTATAATATTTATAATATGTATACTGATTATTGTTTTACTCTATTGTTGGCACTGTGCTGTGCTGGTTGGTAGCCGCCCTGAGTCCCTCTGCAGAGGTTGAGATAGGACGGGATACAAACGCCCTAAATAAATAAATAAATATTTAGCCCTTTCGGTGATTAATTCACATTTTTGTAATTAAAAATACCTAATTTTCAATATTTCTGACAAAAATAGCTAACTCCAATCAGAACAAACTACTAGGCAGGTTGGGAGCTGTTCAAAATGGTTCAATTCACCACCAAAGAAGTCTGCTGATGGGCAAACATGATGCAGGAAAAGAAAAAGGCAGAGAGATTCATTCAGGCAGGGGAAGAGAAGGGGAAGGGGCACCCCACCTGCCCTCTCCTTGGCCCATCGGGGATCCTGCCCAATGCTTACCTGATCCAGGCTCTCAGAAGGTGTTCTCAAACCATCAGAACGAAGAGCTGAGTCCCTAACTCTTGACCTAGGTAATCTTCCATTTCCTGGAGGGACACAAACAACAACAACAACAAAAAAAGCCCTTTGCTATTCCCTCTCTTTCTAAACCAGCCATAGGTAAACTTCAGCTCTCCCTCCAGGTGTTTTGGACTTCAGCTCCCACAATTCCTAACAGCCTACAGGAAGTTGGTCCATGTTGGAGCATGCAAGGAATCTGTGTGTGTGTGTGTGTGTGTGAACTGTAAAATAAGATGCATGCTGCTGATTGGTTGGGCAATGCCCGCAGAGCAGGCTGAGCCTGGGACTTTTGGATACTGTTACATTTTTGTCCAGGCTTGAGCTATGTGCGGAGAGAGCGAGTTTGAAGAGAAGCACAGATAGAGATAGAGTTTGGTGTGTGCTCTTGCTTCATGAACGGCTGAAGAAGTGTATCCACATGGATAATGAAATACCATTTTATTTTAATAGCGATGGTCCTCTGCCATCAACTCCGCTGGACCGGCCACGTTGTTCGGATGCCCGACCACCGTCTCCCAAAGCAGTTGCTCTACTCCGAAATCAAGAACGGAAAATGGAATGTTGGTGGGCAGGAAAAGAGATTGAAAGATGGGCTCAAAGCCAACCTTAAAATCTCTGGCATAGACACTGAGAACTGGGAAGCCCTGGCCCTTGAGCACTCCAGCTGGAGGTCAGCTGTGACCAGCAGTGCTGCAGAATTTGAAGAGGCACGAATGGAGGGTGAAAGAGAGAAACGTGCCAAGAGGAAGGCATGTCAAGCCAACCCCGACTGGGACCGCCTTCCACCTGGCAACCAATGCCCTCACTGTGGAAGTAGATGCAGGTCAAGAATAGGGCTTCACAGCCACCTACGGATACACAAGAATACTAATCATGAAAGACTATCCTACTTGTCCGACGAGGGAATGCCTAAGTAAGTAAGTAATTGTATTATATTATAATAGTATAACTATTACAATCTCCTCACTTATTTTAGGTGCACCGAGGAAAGGAAAAACAAATGAAAGCATGCCACCGTTTATCCTTACCCAAAATGGTGCGATGTGTGCTATTTCCTTGGGTCACCTCCACGGCTGGCACTCCTTGTCCAGAGTATGAGTGACACTTCTCTGCCTCCTGAATGTCAGTGACCTCTTTCAGAAATGCCTCCTGCACCACAAAGATCAACAATAGTTACTGAGAAAGTAATTAGAAAAGGAATGACAGAAAAAGACTGCAAGAGTGAAAGCGTTGGGGTTGTTCTTGTTTTGATGGTTTCCAGAAACAATCTGGAACTAATTTTTATAATATTTTGCAAGTGCCAGAATATCACAATAAAGAGGAGGAAATAGAGACCATGGCAAAAAACACTGTCAGTTTAATCCTTCTTGAATTCCCCCAAAGCTCTGAAAAAATTAGAACAGTTCTATGAAGATGAAGATTTGAAAAACTTTTTGGAAAATGGAAATCTTCACCCTGGTCATTCCACAGGTATATAAACTTATTTTCCTAGTTCCAACAGACCTCACTACCTCTGAGGATGCTTGCAATAGATGCAGGCGAAACGTCAGGAGAGAATGCCTCTAGACCATGGCCATATAGCCCGGAAAAACCTACAACAACCCAGTGATTCCGCCCATGAAAGCCTTTGACAATACATAGTTACAGTTTGAGTTTATAAACTGTGTTCATGTTGTCGATTATATATGTCTATATTTTGTTTACCTTTTTACACACCGGGTTGTTCTGTGTTAAATGCTCTTCCAGTGTCTCCTCTTCTGCCCGACTCAGGAGGAAGCCTTCAGCCAAAGCCACGGCCTGTGAACTCGTCTCTGCCCCACATTCCCTCACCCAACGCTCCATCTCTGGGGGCAGGATGCTCAGGAACTGCTCCAGGACCACCATGTCCAGCATCTCCGCCTTGGAGTGTCGCTGGGGCTTCAGCCACAGGCAGCAGAGAGAGTGGAGGCGGCTGCAGGCCTCTCGGGGCCCCAAGGCCTCCTCATAGTGGTAACTTCTGAAGTGCTGGCGCTGTAACTCTGAACCGAGCCCTTCCTTCCCTCGGTCCTTCTGCCCAGCTCCTCTGCTCTCACCCTCAACAGGAGGGCAGCCTTTCCTTAATTCTTCCTTTTCCATCGATGAGTGTTGCTTTGAAACAAGAACCAGGTCAGACGAAGTCGTTCTTTTCTGTTCTGACACATTCGCTCGCAGACAGAAGACTGGCCACATTACTGGGAATTGCCAAACCCTACAAAGAAAGTAAGATGTTGCATGAAGAACCGACCATAAACCTTAGGTAAAGGACCAAATTCCAGCTGGAAACTGACTCTTTTGTTTCTGAACAGAATAAAATCACTTTGACTCACAGAGAAGTCAGGAGTTGTCTCTAGGGTGGAGGGGACTTCCCTTTCCTTCCAAATCACAGAACCCATACAGAATGTGGAATGCGGCACTTATTCTCAAAATACAAAACTAAAACCTGGATTGCTGTGAGTTTTCCAGGCTGTCTGGCTATGTTCTGGAAGCATTCTTTCCTGACATTTCACCCACATCTTGGGCAGGCATGCTCAGAGGTTGTGAGGTCTGTTGGAAATGGGGCAAGTGGGGTTTATGTATCTGTGGAATAATGTCCAGGGTGGGATTTCTTTGTTCCCTACAGTTCAAAGAGATAAACACAATCCCGTAACTGGGATTGTGGCGCAGCTGGCTGAGTGTCAGCTACATTAAGATCACTTCTGACCAAAAGGTCATGAGTTCGAAGCCAGCTCGGGTCGGAGTGAGCGTCCGACCAATTGTGTAGCTTGTTGTCGACCTTTGCAACCCGAAAGACAGTTGCATCTGCCAAGTAGAAAAATTAGGTACCACCTATGTGTGGGGAGGCTAATAAATTAATTTACGAGGCCATAAAAAAGGCTCCAGCAAAGCACTCCAGCAAAAAAGCATGCGGGAAATGCGGAAGTACTTCATCAGTGTCGCAGATGGACGATGAAAGCGACAGCTCCCCTGGCAGCCAGAAAAGTTAAATAGCCTCTGACTGTCTGTCTATATCTGTTGTATGTCTTTGGCATTGAATGTTTGCCATATATGTGTACATTGTAATCCGCCCCGTCCCCTGCGCGGTGAGAAGTGCGGAATATAAATATTGTAAATAAATAAATAAATCAGTCTAACAGCTGAGAAACCTAAATTGCCTTGCATGAATACTAGTGGATATTTACTGTTTGATTTTATGCTGCTGTGTTGTTTACTTATATTGGTTTTGCATCTTATGTAATTTATTTTGTTGTGTTTTTGTATATTGTGTTTTACTGTATTGGCGGGCCTGGCCTTACGTAAGCCACCTTGAGTCCCCTTGGGGGAGATGGAGGCGGGATATAAAGTTTTATTATTATTAATAATAATTATTATTATTTATCACTAGGAAGACTGACTCAAACAAGTTTTCAACACTTCTCAGGAAGATCATACTTTCCAAAAAAGATTATCATCTCTAACAAGGTCATGCCTTTCCAAAAGTTGATGATTATTCCAAGTAGTGTGCATGCCAATTAATCTCCAAAAGGGTCACACTTCCAAATGTAAATAATGACCACCTGTAAATAATGATGCCTCATTTTCCCAATAGCCCCGGAGAATAGGACTCAATGGAGCCATGGGTTCAAATGAAAGGAAAGGAGATTCCACCTGAGCATTAGGAAGAACTTCCTAGCTGTGAGAAAGAGCTGTTCAACATTGGAACTCTCTGCCTCAGAGTCTGGTGGAAGCTCCTTTCTTGGAGGCTGTTAAACAGAGGCTGGACAGCCATCTGTTGGGGGTGCTTTGAACCCGATTGTCCTGCTTCTTGGCAGAATAGGGTTGGATTGGTTGGCCCACGAGGTCTCTTCCAACTCAATGATTCTATGACCTTACAACCGCTGAGGATGCCTGCCATAGATGTAGGTGAAACATCAGGAGAGCATGTTGTATCTATCAGGGATACTTTGATTGTACTTTTCCTGCATGGCAGGGGGTTCGATTAGATGGCCCACAAGGTCTTTCCCAACTATTATTCTATGGTGCTATGAAAAACTTTCTGTTGATAAGAGCAGTTCAACAGTGGAATGTGCTGCTCCTTGAGAGGGCAGTGGAGTCTCCTTCTCTGAGGTTTTTAAGCAGAGGCTGGATGACCACCTGTAAATAATGCTTTGGTTGGGTATTTGGTTGGACTGGATGGACCTTGGGGTCCCTTCCAACTTCATGATTCTGTAACAAGCCCGTAAACAACGACCTGCCCGACAGGATGGCTGGTGGAGGTGGAGGTTGGAAAGTGGTTCCAACACCCACCCCATTCTGTGAAGAGAAGATGGATGGATTGAGAACTAGAACTTACTGCATTCCTGGAGACAGAAGAGTATTCTGCTGCATAGCTGAGGCAGCAAAGCCTCTCTGAAGGACCAATTATGATGTTTTTCTTGAGGTAGCAAGATGTTTAACCATCCAATTTAAGCCAGACGCTGGCCTGTTTCTCTGTACAGGAGACAAAGCCCAGGAGTCAAGAGACAGAAAGAAAAGAAAACATTGGATTGCTTGAGTTTTGCATGGCCATGTTCCAGTAGCATTCTCTCCTGACGTTTCGCCTGCATCTGTGGCCGGCATCTTCCAAGGTCTGTTTGGGTTGAGGCAAGTGGAGTGTCTATGTGCCTGTGGAATGTCTATATACTTGTGGATATTTGGGGAAGGGACTTCTCTCCATCTCATCGCCCTTGTGGGAATGCAAGAAAGGGGCCTTCTCTGTGGCTGCTCCCTCATAGGGAACTCCCTTGCTAGGGAAGCTAGCCAACTTCTTCTTCCAGAAGGCTTTGGTGAATACATTTGGGGGAAAAATTAAAATCATAGTTTTGGGACCAGGACTTTGGGCAGTAGAAGTAAACGTATGCAGCATTTCAGAAAGACAATGACTGGAACGGCGATTTCACGGACGAGACTGTTTTAATTATTGTTTTATTGCTTGTGGCTGGATTGTTTTTAACTTGATTTATGTCTAATTGTAGTGTATAATTGTAACTGTTTGCACTGGCATTGAATTTTGCTATTACTTATGTATAAACCGCTTTGAGTCCCCCTCGGGGTGAGAAAAGCGGTATACAAATACTGTAAGTAAATAAAAAATAAATACATACATTATTTTACTAGTGTGCTTTTTTAGTGCACTAAAAAGCTTCTCTTGTTTTATATTATTGTTATTCTAATATGGATAATAATAATAATAATAATAATAATAATAATAATAATAATATATTTATACCCCGCCACCATCTCCCCAAGGGACTCTGAGCGGCTTCCATGAGGCCAAGCCCAACAACACATCAAAAACAACAAGCAATAATAAAAACAACAAGCAATAAACAAAAAATTCAAACTACAGGAAAAGGATTCCACCTGAACATTAGGAAGAACTTCCTGACCGTAAGAGTTGTAATTAATGTGGAACTCGCTGCCCCGGAGTGTGGTGGAAGCTCCTTCCTTGGAGGCTTTTAAACAAAGGCTGGATGGCCATCTGTCTGGGGTGCTTTGATTGTGCTTTTCCCGTATGGCAGGGGTTGGACTAGGTGTACAATGGGGCCTTTTCCAACTCTAGTATTCTAATGCTGGTTTTTGTCTAATGTGGTTTTTAACTCTGAATTTGTTTCAATGGTATTTAACTGGGAATTTTAAAAATACTGTTTATATTTAACCTTGTTTCACTGTCTTCCTGGACTCAAGCGCCCGTAACCTTGGGAAAGTCTGATTTGGCCACAGTAGTCCAGACTCTTGTTACATTTCATTTAGACTACTGCAACGCACTCTATGTGGGGTTGCCTCCGAAGACTCCCACAATTCCTAACAGCCCCTGGACCAACTTGGGCCTTCCCTCCAGGTGTTTTGGACTCCAACTCCCACAATTCCTAACAGCCCCTGGGCCAACTTGGGCCTTCCCTCCAGGTGCTTTGGACTATAACTCCCACAATTCCTAACAGTCCCTGGACCAACTTGGGCCTTCCCTCCAGGTGTTCTGGACTCCAACTCCCACAATTCCTAACAGCCCCTGGACCAACTTGGGCCTTCCCTCCAGGTGTTTTGGACTCCAACTCCCACAATTCCTAACAGCCCCTGGGCCAACTTGGGCCTTCCCTCCAGGTGCTTTGGACTATAACTCCCACAATTCCTAACAGTCCCTGGACCAACTTGGGCCTTCCCTCCAGGTGTTCTGGACTCCAACTCCCACAATTCCTAACAGCCCCTGGACCAACTTGGGCCTTCCCTCCAGGTGTTTTGGACTCCAACTCCCACAATTCCTAACAGCCCCTGGGCCAACTTGGGCCTTCCCTCCAGGTGCTTTGGACTATAACTCCCACAATTCCTAACAGTCCCTGGACCAACTTGGGCCTTCCCTCCAGGTGTTGGACTCCAACTCCCACAATTCCTAACAGCCCCTGGACCAACTTGGGCCTTCCCTCCAGGTGTGTTGGACTCCAACTCCCACAATTCCTAACAGCCCCTGGACCAACTTGGGCCTTCTCTCCAGGTATTCTGGACTCCAACTCCCACAATTCCTAACAGCCCCTGGGCCAACTTGGGCCTTCTCTCCAAGTGTTCTGGACTCCAACTCCCACAATTCCTAACAGCCCCTGGACCAACTTGGGCCTTCCCTCCAGGTGTGTTGGACTCCAACTCCCACAATTCCTAACAGCCCCTGGACCAACTTGGGCCTTCTCTCCAGGTGTTCTGGACTCCAACTCCCACAATTCCTAACAGCCCCTGGGCCAACTTGGGCCTTCTCTCCAAGTGTTCTGGACTCCAACTCCCACAATTCCTAACAGCCCCTGGACCAACTTGGGCCTTCCCTCCAGGTGTGTTGGACTCCAACTCCCACAATTCCTAACAGCCCCTGGGCCAACTTGGGCCTTCTCTCCAAGTGTTCTGGACTCCAACTCCCACAATTCCTAACAGCCCCTGGACCAACTTGGGCCTTCCCTCCAGGTGTGTTGGACTCCAACTCCCACAATTCCTAACAGCCCCTGGGCCAACTTGGGCCTTCCCTCCAGGTGTTCTGGACTCCAACTCCCACAATTCCTAACAGCCCCTGGGCCAACTTGGGCCTTCCCTCCAGGTGTTCTGGACTCCAACTCCCACAATTCCTAACAGCCACTGGGCCAACTTGTGCCTTCCCTCCAGGTGTTTTGGACTCCAACTCCCACAATTCCGAATTGTGGGAGTTGTAGTCCAAAACCCCTGGAGGGAAGGCCCAAGCCTGTTTTGCCCCATTCATTCCCACCCTCCTTTCCCCAATCCCCTTCCAGTGGAGCCCCTCCTAATCCCAAACACATCCCCATTTGGGCCCCTTCCTCCCTCCCTTCCCAGCCTCACTCTTAACATGCCCAGAGGAACAGCTTGGAGGACCTCCACTCACCCTCCTCTCCCAGCAATGCACTGGCCGGAAGGGGAAGGGCCTTGTAAACTCCACTTCCTGCCTCTCTAGGAAGCCTCACTCCTATGGCAGTCAGGCAATAACAAAGGGGAGGAGCCTATGGCCAGAAGGAATGAATGAAAGGCAGGGCCCGCTGCTGAGAAGAGGAGATGCTGGGTCCTAAAGCCCGCCCTATTCATTCATTTATTTACTTATTCCCCCCTTCTCTGGTAGAATCCTTCTGGGTTGGTTTTAATCCTTCCAGAAACCAAGCAGGAGAACTGGGTGGCTGTGAGTTTTCAGGGCTGCAGTGGCCATGTTCCAGTAGCATTCTCTCCTGAAGTTTTGCCTGCATCTGTGGCAAGCCTCTGCAGAAGTGAGTTTTCCAGGCTGCATGGCCATCTTCCAGCAGCATTCTCTCCTGACGTTTCACCTGCATCTATGTCTGGCATCCTCATATGTTCTCAGCAGCATTCTCTCCTGACGTTTCGCCTGCATCTATGTCTGGCATCCTCATAAGTTCTCAGCAGCATTCTCTCCTGACGTTTCGCCTACATCTATGTCTGGCATCCTCATAAGTTCTCAGCAGCATTCTCTCCTGGCGTTTCGCCTTCATCTATGTCTGGCATCCTCATAAGTTTTCGTCTGCATCTATGTCTGGCATCCTCATAAGTTCTTCTTTGGAGGCTTTTAAACAGAGGCTGGATGGCCATCTTGTCAGGGGTGCTTTGAATTCAATATTCCTGCTTGTTGGCAGAATAGGGTTGGACTGGATGGCCCATGAGGTCTCTTCCAAAGCTTTCATTCTATGATTCTGTTGACAGTGAGGCAAGTGGAATGTATACACAGAGGGTGCCTCCAGGTAACAGAGGCCAGGCTACCTCTTTGCAGATACTCTCACAGATCGACTTTGCAAACTTCATAGCTACTCCATGCTATTCAAGCTTGCTAATGGCAACCTTCAAACAGACAAGGGTTCTTTCTCCCACCCTGGACATTATTCCACAGATAAGATATATACTTGCCTCACTGCCAACAGAACCTCTGAAGGTGCCAGCCGTAGATGCAGGCAAAATGTCAGGAGGGAGTGCTACGGGAACATGGCCATACAGACCGAAAAACTCACAGCAACCTAGTGATTCCGGCTATGAAAGCCTTTGACAACACATTAATTCTGATTGATAGCACCATGTATTTGAACATAAAATGTCCCAGCTTTTCTAAATACATACGCATTCAACTTTCCATAGAAATGCAGGCGTCGCAATACCCAATTCTTCTTATTGCCCTTATGAGTTTGAGATTTCCCCTGACATTAAGTCCAGTCGTGTCCGACTCTGGGGGTTGGTGCTCATCTCCATTTCGTAGCCGAAGAGCCGGCGTTGTCCATAGACTCCTCCAAGGTCATGTGGCCAGCATGACTGCATGGAGCCCCGTTACCTTCCTGCAGAAGTGATACCTATTGATCTACTCACATTTGCGTGCTTTCACAACAACAACAACAACAACAACAACAATAATAATAATAAACTTTATTTGTACCCCGCTACCATCTCCGTAAGGGACTCAGTGTGGCTTACATGAGGCCAAGCCCAAAGTACATCAAACAAAACACCAATAAACACAACATCAATAAACAATCAATAAAATACAAATCATATAAATCACAAAAACAAAAACCAATCAATAGTGACATAAACAATTTTAAAAATGGCCGGGCCAAATGTAATAGATTAAAATTGAAAATATGCTGATGTGAACAAGGTAAAATATAACTAGGATAGGATTTTTTGGAGAGAAACGAGGGAGCACAGTCCATCCTAAGTCAGTATTAAAGTGCATTGTGAGGACATATTGCTGAGAGTTCTCCTTATTCTGGGAAGGCACACTGGAACAACCACATTTTCAGGCTCCTCCTAAAGACTGCCAACATTGGGGTGTATCTAATGTCCCTGGGAAGTGAGTTCCAGAGTCGGGGGGCCACCACCAAGAAGGCCCTCTCCCTCGTCCTCAAAAATCGCACCTGCGAAGGAGGTGGGAGCGTGAGCAGGGCCTCTCCAGATGATCAAAGAGATTGTGTGGGTTCGTACACAGAAATGCGGTCACGCAGGTAGGCGGGTCCCAAACCATTCAGGGCTTTGTAGGTCAGAACCTGCACCTTGAATTCGGACCGGAAAATGAATGGCAGCCAGTGGAGCTCCTTAAACAGGAGGGTTGACCGCTCCCTGCAAGAAGCATTGGTTGGTAATCTGGCTGCCATTCGTTTTACCATTTGCAGTTTCCGAGCCGTTTTCAAGGGCAGACCCACGTAGAGTGCATTACAGTAATCCAATCTGGGGGTGACTAAGGCATGGTCCACCCTGGCTAGATCCGACTTCACAAGGTACGGTCGCAGCTGGCGCACGAGTCTTAATTGTGCGAAAGCCCTCCCGGCCACCGCTGACACCTGAGCTTCAAGCGTAAGTGATGAGTTCAGGAGGAAGTCACAGACTACGGACCTGTGACTTCAGGGGGAGTGCAACCCCATCCAGCACAGGTTGCCACCCTATACCCCGATCCGGCTTACGACTGACTAGAAGGACCTCTGTCTTGTCGGGATTAATCTTTAGCTTGTTCTTTCTCATCCAGACAGCCACAGCGGGCCAGGCACTCGTCCAGCACCCGAGGGGCTTCCTTGGAGTTAGGTGGAAACGAGTAGTAGAGTTGTGAAAGCTGAAATGCAAAGATACAGAATGGGGGACAATGCCTGGCTCGAGAGCAGTACGTGTGAAAAAGATCTTGGAGTCCTCATGGACAAAAAGTTAAACATGAGCCAACAATGTGATGTGGCGGCAAAAAAAGCCAATGGGATTTTGGCCTGCATCAATAGGAGCATAGTGTCTAGATCTAGGGAAGTAATGCTACCCCTCTATTCCGCTTTGGTTAGACCACACCTGGAATATTGTGTCCAATTCTGGGCACCACAATTCAAGAGAGATATTGACAAGCTGGAATGTGTCCAGAGGAGGGCGACTAAAATGATCAAGGGTCTGGAGAACAAGCCCTATGAGGAGCGGCTTAAGGAACTGGGCATGTTTAGCCTGAAGAAGCAAAGGCTGAGAGGAGATATGATAGCCATGTATAAATATGTGAGAGGAAGCCACAGGGAGGAGGGAGCAAGCTTGTTTTCTGCTTCATTGGAGACTAGGACGCGGAACAATGGCTTCAAACTACAAGAGAGGAGATTCCATCTGAACATGAGGAAGAACTTCCTGACTGTGAGAGCCGTTCAAGCAGTGGAACTCTCTGCCCCGGAGTGTGGTGGAGGCTCCTTCTTTGGAAGCTTTTAAACAGAGGCTGGATGGCCATCTGTCGGGGTGCTTTGAATGCAATATTCCTGCTTCTTGGCAGAATGGGGTTGGACTGGATGGCCCATGAGGTCTCTTCCAACTCTTTGATTCTATGATTCTATGATTCATCTGCATAGAGATGGCACCCAACTCCAAAACTCCAGGTGACCTCTCTCTACTTGGAAGGAAGTGTTTCCACACTTGGGGCATTTAAATGGTTTCTCTATTGTATTAGGTGTTTGATACTCCGCAAGTCTCTGCTTCCAATGGTTTCGCTGCTCTGTGCGTGGACTGATGGCGAGTGAAGTTGGACTTCCAATTGAAACTCTTCCCGCACTCCAGGCACTTAAACGGCTTCTCCGCCGCATGAGTTATTTGATGATCCGCGAGCCTCTGCTTCCAACCGAAGCTCTTCCCGCACTCCAGGCATTTAAATGGCTTCTCCTCCAAGTGAGTTAGCCGATGAGATGATAAGTTGGACCTCGAGCGGAAACTTTTCCCACATTTCGGGCACTTAAACGGCTTCCCCTCCAGGTGCGTCAGTTTGTGGCAGGTGAAGTTCGACCTCCAGCGAAAACTCTTCCCACACTCCAAGCACTGGAACGGTTTCTCCCCGGTGTGTATCTTCTGATGGAGCGTCAGGCTCACCTTCTTCATGAAGCTCTTGCCGCACTCTAAACACGTAAATAGTTCTCCCTGCTCGAGAGAGATTTGGTCGGAAGTTGCGTGGGTTCTTTCACTGAAACTGATCCCAGACTCCAAGCAGTTGTAGGGTTTCACCGGTGTGAGTATACTTTGGTAGGACTCAAAGTGTGACCTCTTCCCACAATCCATCAAACCATTAATGTTTTCCTCTTGCATATGAATGCTGTCGTTATGAGTTCCACTATAAACCAAGGTTCTTTCCATTTCTGAATTAAGGGAAATACCTTCATTCCTTTCATTTCCACCTGCTTTTTCTTGGGTAGGAATTTCAAAGGCACCCGAAGCATACAAAGCAGAGGCTTTGTTCTCCATCTTCTTTGGACTGTCGGTTTCTGTTTGCTTCCCTTTCTCTTGTTGACACGGCACTCTCTGGAGCCAAGACATCCTCGGTTGTATTTCATTGCCACTCTCCTGCCAATCACCTTCAAAGGAAAGAAACGACTTGTCAGAAGGAAACAAGGACTGGGACAAAAGAGATAACTTTGGAGAACAAGTCCTATGAGGAGCAGCTTAAAGAGCTGGACATGTTTAGCCTGAAGAGGAGGCATGATAGCCATGTATAAGTATGTGGGAGGAAGTCTTAGGGAGGAGGAAGCAAGCTTGTTTTTTATTGTGTTTCAGGATCAGAGTGCTATGGATGTGAGGAATGATGTAAACGAGGTCCAAGATGGCAATGGTTTGGTCAGTGATATTGATGCAGAGAATGACATAGAGACACCTGTTCAAAGTCTAGTTTCCCGTGATAATGTTCCTACAGGGTATAGGGATGATGGTTTACTCCCTGAATTGTTCCCAGAGAGTTCCGAGGATTTGGGGCTTGAAAACAACTCAGCACCTGCAGAAACTAATGAGCAGATAGATAGGCAAGCAGAAATTAGTCAAAACAGATAGGTCAAGCAATACCTTCGGCGTTCTGCCAGGCTGCGACAGAAAAAGATAAGGGCCGCTCAAGGAAAGCGAAACCAGTTCCTGAGTGCTTGGACTGGCTTAAATGTTCCAGGCATGGGAAATCTAGCCGAATGAAGCACCATTCAGAATCCTGCTCAGTTCTTGTCCTTGTTTCATGGAAGCCGTGGTTGGAAGATTCATGCTTAAGGATTTCTTGTTTCTTGGTTTGGCCTTTTGTCCCTTGTGATACTCATGCCTTGGATCGTTTCCTGTTTCTTTGGATTTTGTTAGGCATGTAGTCTTTGTTTTTGGACTTTGCTGAACTTTACCTTGAACTAATTTGTTCCTGCCTATTTTCTAACCTAATTGGTTTTACCTATTCCTTTAAAGTGCCTTTTTTATTTGCTGCCCCTACTTATCATCAATAAAAGGATTGTTTTTCCCTACTCAACATGTGGTGTTTTAAAGTCAGAGGGCTATTCCTGTCCTGGAGTGATAGCCATGTATAAATAAGTGAGGGGAAATCATAGGGAGGAGGGAGCAAGCTTGTTTTCTGCTGCCCTGGAGACTAGGACGCAAGGGAGCCATGGCTTCAAACTACAAGAAAGGAGATTCCATCTGAACATTAGGAAGAACTTCCTGACTCTGAAAGCTGTTCAGCAGTGGAACTCTGTGGTTGAGGTACCTTCTTTGAAGGCTTTTAAGCAGAGGCTGGATGGCCATCTGTCGGGGTATTTTGAATGCAATTTCCTGCTTCTTGACAGAATAGGGTTGGACTGGATGGCCCACGAGGTCTCCTCCAACTCTATGATTCTATGATTCTAACTGACAACCTCATCACACTGAGAGGAGAAAGCACGAGTGGCACACAGCTTCCAAAACAGACCAGATCTGATGCCTTCGAGTTTGTTACGTATTTATTATCTATTAGGAGCATTTCTATCCCGTCCTTCTCGCCTCCAAAAAGGGACTCAGGACGGCTACCAACAGGCATCGTTCGGTGCCGAACAATAAAAACAAAGCATAATATACATTTAGCATACATTAAAACAATTATAAATACATTAAAACAGTTTACCGTTTCACATTGTC